AGTAGGGGAGGGTACCTAGTGCTGGTCTTTGTCAAGCAGATTGAGGTGCTTACACCTCCAACCGCTCGATCAGACAATCTGTTAGGAAACTGACAGCATGAACGCCACTGACAGCGATTAGCCGCCATTTCTCGCCACATCTCCAGCCAAGCGGCTACGGGAATCCCATCCTGGAAGGCGTACAACAGTCGATCCACTCGATCAAGAAGCCATAAAGACAAATTGCCAAATGTTGGTAGTGCAAAAATGCTTTTTAAATGCAACCTAATCAAAATAAATAATATTTCGGAATTAGTTCAACGGTTGAGGAGATGATAGTGAAATAGAAAAACAGCCAATCAGTGGACCGAACATCAAGACTGATCAAGGTTATGATGCCTAAGACTTGCTGGATAAAGTTGTTGTTCAGACGGGTACCGTTTGTGTTGCGCAGCAATATAGCAAGGGTATTCAACGGGTTCGATATAACAAACCGCTCTGACTAACGTGTCGAGCGACCGGTAACCAGTGAATTCAGTGAATTTCAAAAATCTCGCTGGTACACTGAACGATCCGTTCAGTGCACATGAGCGTAACCGTATCTACAGAAGAACTTCTATAAGATCTAGTATCCAATACGATGAACTGTCTCACTTATCCTGTCAGTGTTACCTCCCTTGTCGTTGAAATGAGCACGGTTGGCTGCCCGCAGTTTCCCGTGAGCACCGTCAGCCAAGTGATCTCACGGAGACCACATTGTCAAAACTAGAATTTTCTTTTCAGAGGAGTTATCGTCTCCCACGTTGATTGTTCACAGTAGGTTAATGAACATCCGAATTTCATGGATATAAATTTTTTTATTAAAGTCCTGGTTAAAAATTTCTCTTCCGCCGGCAGACAGTCTGCAGAACAAGTCGGTTGTGCTGTATCAGCCAGGAAGTGAAATTGGGATGTAGCTAGTTACAACAAGGCTAACGTTACGCAGAACCTCTGTCAGAAGCCATCAGTCGTCAAGAACATGGCCAGCGTTGATCATAATGATGAGCAGAAAAAGTACCTTCAAGTGACATCTGTATAAAACAGAGAATAACCGCTACCGGTGTCTTTGTCTAAATCATTTTAAGCGACGTAGACGATTGTAAACTTTCATTAATTCCTGCAAACTCCCTATAAGTCAATGATCTGTTCTGCTGCTCATTTTCTTGTACTTTGAAATGACGAACATAGGTCGTACAACGCTACGAAACTTCTGAATGCCCACGGGAACACGCTCTTGGATTTTGAGTGGATAGTAGTAGTGATGAGATGAGCTCTAGGGGTTTATTTCCACATTTGTGTGATAGGCAAAACACGATGCTTTCGGAATCGCCATCTGTGAACTCAAGATGTCATTTCACAGCCAAAGCGAAAAGTTAGGTCCAACATCTCGAAACTGTTCTGCCGTGCAGTCTGTCCCGTGCAGTCTGTCGGGCTGAGTTGATCTTCACTCGCATCCCGACATTTTTGTCAACGTATCTGCTGCACCTATCTCACTGAGGGGATCTACCCTCGATGACTGTTTGGGGTAACAGAAACTGTCTAAAGTCTTTAGCCGTGGTAATTTGGTGAACTAATAGAACTCGGATTAGTGTTTTCGTTCTGTGTACCACGCACAACTGTATTAGCCCAATTAGAAAATTTATGGAAACGGTTAGTTCTCTAACCTGTCTTCTAATGTCCGGCCTCGGATTTCTCAGCTTGTCTTGCCTCACTCACAGTCGTTTACCTCAACCATAAAATTGGTGTGGACTGACTAATTTCAAGATCGTGACTAATAACGCGTACATACCTGCAGTAAGGCAGCCGCAACCACTGAATTCAGTAGTATGAATGACAGAATACTGTTGTTGTGCATTGCAGGTAATAAATATCCGGGGGTTGACGGTAGAATAGTTGTCCAGCCTCATAGTTAACGAAAAGCAAGTGTTTCGTCACAAGCGATGATTGCCTTCATAGTAACCTAGGCCCGAAACCTCTTATTTGAAATACATAGTGTTTTGTCCAAACGCGAATATACAAGAATGCATAGGTTTGTGCACTGTGAGTAGTGGCGTTTCATGCTTTCAATTTCACATCTAAGGTGCACATGTGAAAATGCCCAAAATTGGGCTATGTGGTTCTTCAAGAGAAATAGGGAATCTTTTAGCGTACCCACCTGTGGGCTGTCGAGGTTTTCAGCAAAATTATGAGTAGAATGGTTAGTCAACGGAATCTGTTCGCAAGCCTAACGATGCCTGAAAAACACATCTCATTGTGTTTGCGTATAAATTCCCCCTCAATGGGCTGTCAGTGTTTTTACGTTGGGAACTATTCAGCTACCCATATTTGTTTTTAAGTCCTGAAGGCAAAGACATAGAGGGATGCTTCCATAAGACATTTTTAATAAACAGCTGCAGGACACGACTCTCAAGTACTAGTCAAACTTCATAATCTTGGTAGGAGATTATGCTGAAAGCATTCGCTGCAACCGGTTACCATTGTATGTAAACTTCCCAGTCAACATTGTGTTCTGGAGTTACGTGTGATGGAATTTTAAATACATGTTTACAGGACTTGTTGTGGCCTACGATGGAAGGTTAGACGCTTTTTATTCCGTTATTTAGTGTGGTTCTTTGAAGCAGAGGAAAACAAAAGAAATGTTTCTAAATTAATGTTCCTAGTAGCTCTTGTTTCCTCGTTTAACAAAATAAACCCTTGATTAAGCAAACCAGCTGGTCAATCGGAAGAATACAAAGGCCATCCCAAGCTTACACACATTCCTGCGCTAATTCAGTTTCTTCCTACAATAGTTGTCAAGGGATACATCGTGTTTATTAGTATTCTGGACAGACAACAGGTCACATGGCTGAGCTGACAAGACGAAACCTGATGTCGACCAATTAAACCAAGCTTTTTGTCATGATTTGTGATGAAGGGAGATCAATGGGATAGTAGTGTTCAGGTTGCGAAAGTTTGGACGAAGTAAAAACATTACCCACAAAATATTACATACAAAACTTCTTGTTTGATGCAACGGCATAACGTTGTATTGTGCAGGAGGAAGATACGTAGTTTAGTGCACCCACACTCTAGACTAAGATTGTTCTCTTGACTTATTAAAGGATCAAACTGGCAAACTCCAATAGCCTAAAGATAAAATTGCTGAAAATCAAGCTATAGGAGAGTGAGGAAAGTTCCTATTGGGCAAGTTACTAGAGTTGAATAAAATCTCATCATTCGTATCTTGAAAATCAACTTTAATATCCTCCAACCCATCACAGTCGTGGAGTTGCCCCCAAGTTTTTTTCGATACTGCAGCAAAGCAAATGATCAATTTGATCATTTTTCTTCGGTTACAGTGGTAATTATCCCAAATGTGATGTCGATGAGGAATTTTTAAATTTCTGTATTCCAGGCATGGCGTCAGCAAACCTAACGTAACGGCTGATGAGGTTTTTCTTTGATAGTAATCCATTGAGTTACGGAGATATCTTCCAATTAGCAAACGGTTGATGGTCAGAGGAAATGATAGTATGACAGGCATAATCGTAGAACCAACGGAATAGTGGTTGCTGGGAAAAAGTTAATCGAACCCAAAGTTGTTCGGAATTCGACCAATCAGAACTCGACCTAGCGGGCCATCCAGTAGAACCAACTATCTGAACAATTAATCAGGCTCAGGGGTCAAACCATGGTCAAGAGAACGAATGTAAACACGTCATGAGGGCCAGCGTCTAGGCAACGGCCCACCAACAACCAATCACCCACTGATGAGGTAACCTCAATTAGGGAAGAAACGTTGGCAAAAAGTTGTCAGGCTCAGCGAACCAGTCATTCAGAGCTCACCAGTGATTGCCTGTAATTTCTGTACCAGTGTATCAAAGAATTTTACAAATAACAACACAGTGCAAAGTATGGAACAAAAACGTGTGAGGTGAATGGGGTTAGGTTGCAGTAAACGGGCAACAGAGGAAGACATGTTTACGGTTCCGACCTTTAAGAAGCACACGGCCGGTGTGGCATCATTGCTGAAGTCTGTGAACGAAACGGTGGAAAGTTGTACGCATTCTCGTGAACGTCACCCTTATTCGGATAACGGAGATAGTACTGTGAATTTGAAATACAGAATTTCACGTATTTCCATTTTGATTTCGTGGACAAAGACCATGTGTGCCAACCGGAATTTCAGGGAACTGGCTTGGATGGTTCGCATAATTTATCTCGTCTTCGGTCATTTCTAACCGTTTGACGACAGAATTATGGCACTTGCTGCACGTGAAGCGAGAATGGTCTTGATCTAATTTCTCCGTTTTGAGGAGACTTGCATGTCCTTCAATTTCTTTCAGAGCCGAATAGCTGCGTGAGTTTTCACCTAGTGATCTACTTCTTGTTCTTGTATCTGCGGCTTGCGATTCACAGACTTCGTCATTGGTGGTGGCAGGACGTGGAGATCCAGGCTGCGTCTCGTGACTTGGGGAAATAAAATTGGTCATGCAGCTGGTGCGAGAATTAATGCACCCCTTCGATAGACAGCAATCATCTCTAGGTACTACAGGCTGCCCTTGGTTGCCCTGCAATGCCTGATGGGTTGTGCTTCCGGCAAGACGTCCTGAGGGATGCTGAAAATCATGTGTTGGATAAAAGGAAGGAGTCCTTTCGGCCGAAGTATCTGTATTGCCAATTTTATAAGTAGTATGTCTATACGTGTCTTGGAGTGGCTTGCTTGAGTTCGAATTTGTCTCATGCTTCTGCCCGAAATGGGGAAGATAAAAGTCTGACCGAAAGTTGGAGAGTCTGTTGAGCCTCGCGGCACATTCAACCACAAGATTGTCTTTAGGAATATATTTTTCACTCTCCTCGGCGACTTTCTTGGTGAAATCCGTTTTATAAGTAGTTTCGTCAACAAACTTTCCAAAAGGTGGAACGTACTCTGGATAAAAGCGACATGGTACCGCTCGGTTACAACTGAATGCTCGAAAATCATCCATGTAGCAGGTGATATCAGTCATTTTCTGTGTTGGCTTATTGTATCGATCAACTGGCTTAAAATTTCTGGATCGTTCTCCATGACGCTTTTGGAAATCCTCAGTGTAGGTAGTTGTTCCAACAAATGGACCAGATGGTGGATGATACTGAATCTTCGGAGCAAACCTTTGTTGGTGATCAGCGATTTTGTGTCCATAATCAGACCGATAGACTGTTGCGTCATCCATATGTCTATCCGAAGGCATATACACCTCTCGTGGTTTCATACTCGGAACTTTCTCCGCTGGTCGACTAATGAACTCTTCTTGGTAGTTACTGATGCCAGTTCTTCCACCTGTTGGAAACCACTGATTAGAGGTTGGACGAAATGGCTTTGTGGTCAGTGATCCTTCACGGATCGGAAAATCGATCTGATAGCTTGTGTCACTTGCCAGCTTTTCAAAATTTGGGATGTATACTTCTTTTGGTTTCATAATTTTACGTGGCTCGGCAGTCCATGGCGGGTAGTCTAATCTGTAGCATGATTTATTTTCCATTGGGTCAGTGGCCTGTTGCACTGAAAAGGAAGATTGGCAACGTGGAGAACTTGGAACAATTTCGTGGGGCACAAAATCTGTCGTATAAATGCTTTCGGGCACATCGTGCACTCCACAAAGTGCTTGACATTCAGAGCAACCGATTGGTAGTGATGGTTTATGCTCATTGATATAATATGACGATTCTGTTGCGACAGGATACCGAAAGGCTTGGCGATGCCATGCAGGTTCACGTGTTTCCAGAGGGCTTGGAGAACTATTGTAGTAATAGGGTCCCAGGATAAGCGGTTGATCTGATTTGCTGTGTATTGGTGTATTGTTCAAGAACATCGGATGGTTGACGTAGTCTGCTCGGTATGTGGAACACGGACTGCGCTCAAATGCTTCATTGTTCACCGATGTTACAGAAACTGGACGCACATTTCCAGTGGATTTGTACAAACCACGGATCTCCAAATTATCATATTGGGTGTTGTGTGTTATGCTCAGTTTTTCATCCTCGTAATTTGACCTCTCAAATGTTTCTGGATAAACTTTCGGTGGATCCAGTGCCCAAGATTTCGGAGGCTCTGTACTCACCACGTATTGCTGGCAAAACTGATGTTCGGATTGCGGCAGTCCGCATGCTTTCGAGTGAGCATCAGCAAACAAACGCATGTCGCTCGCTGCCATTATGATTTCCCGGCATTATGGTTGCAGTTCTATGCATGTGAGGGGGGCGAGCTGCATTGTAACAGCTCCTGATGAAGAGCAGAGGTGTTCAGCTAAAAATTAAAAAAACATTATCAGCTTCTTGTTGAAACGAATCTAAAAACATTCCAAGGCTGATAGAGTTAAGCAGCACTTGATTGGGTCGTAAAAAGTACCCGAAGACTATTTTTTGTTCCCGCTTCACAAATCTAGTCCCAAAGATTAGACTAGACTACATAAGCGAAAAACTAAGCAGGACTTATTAGTTGCGAACTTATATCTATCACTTGTCACGAAAAGTTCAAAATCTCCAAAGTTTCAGCAGCTCGATAAAGTGTTCCCATGATTCGACCACAGTTTACAAAACATTTGACTAATTTGTGAAATCAGTGGAATGACATAAGCCTGTACACCCATGATGGATCGGCAACGCTTACGCGCACATTATTCCATGGATTGGGATCTCCCCGTCCCACGCTATTGTAAAACAAAATAAATAAATAAATCGTTCCTCTGTAGTACCCTTGTGGTGCCTAACTCTCATGCCACCAGAAGGAAGCACGAGGGGTAGGGTACTACCGGGTTGCCTGAGCCAAGTCAGGGGGAGTCGAGAAGCAGAGTTCGGGTTCGAACCGGTCAGTAAATTCGCGCTCTAACCACTAAGCTGTTTCGTCCCTATTGCGCTATTACTGCGCATTGAAAATGGTTGCATATAAATTCTTCCACGATGACTGTACAAAATTCCTACGAGCAGTTGCACCTAATAGGGGTCATTTCCAGAGACAAATGGTTCAAATAAATCAAAACATATGAACGGATTAAACAAGTGCGGATAACTCCATACGCAAAGTTATAAAAAATTCAGACAAGTACAATGACCGAAACACTGGGTCATTCTCGCCCACAGACAAAGCTCCCTGTCCACTCAAGTCCAATGAAAAGCCTATGCGCACAAATTCAACCAACCAAATTCGGTTAGGGGATTTCTTAAAGATCTCCAAGAATGTCCTTTAAGATATATACCGAAGCGGGCAGCATCGTTTCCCCAGTATAAAATAACAAGCTACCACCATCAAGATCCCTTCATAAAGAAGCAACTTTTAATATTCCCCGCTTGCTTCCGAAAGACAGTGCTCTCTGAGGTAACCAATATCTTTCTGCTGCAGAGGGCCATTTGAGAGTTATCTGATCATTAGTTTTGCAGGTGATGGAATATTCCGAGAAGGATAAGAAAAATTTTGAAGTCCCCTGACAAGTTTTGTTGTGTAATTATTCACTCACGTGTTGGAATTTCGTTTAGTCAGCGAAAGCAAAATAATATCATCGCGTACCTCAGTCGGCCTAGTTTTGATGTTTACGCACCGTTGCCTTGGGAGGAATCGCTCCACAATACGGAATCATAGTGATGATCCATGAACGATTTGAAAGGCAAACATCACTTTTCACAACAAAAATCACGTCTTGCATGTTCTTGTCAATTTAACTTTTTTGTATCTGTCGTTGAGATTGAGCGAATTTCTCGGCAGTCGTCAACACATGTGGGAAAAGCATACCTCTTATCTGTTCCCAAAAGTACATCGTCCAGTTCATTCAGGGCCGTAAATGTACAAAAAGCAATTCGTCATGACTGTGGCCGTTTCAGAGGGCGAGTCTTCTGTAAACGGCGAACACGACTATTTTATTAATTTACTAAGCCTCAAACAGGCTGCAACCGTGACTGTTTGATGTTAGCTAGCAGGCTCGCCATAGGCTCCATCTCCTCTAGGTAAGGTTTTCAGTCTTAGCTGTCAATAACGGGTCAGAGAAAACAATCACTGCATCACGAAACAATATTCAAGTAGATGCGGACAAAAGAAATATTCAGCTGAATATTTGCATGCTACAATCATGACAAATGTCGTGACAAACAATTAACGAGACAACGTCGTGTCTGTTAATTGCCGGGAGGTAATTGATGCTTAATTAACACCAAAAGTAGGTAGGTACGCAGTGGTCCTTATGAAGAAGTGATCCGCGAAAAAAGCATGCGTCTGTCAATAAATAAGGGCGTTTAAGAGTATGTCACCGCTTGACATTTGGAGGTGAGTGGCGATGAATTTTCAGGACTTTGAAATAGGTATGCAGAGATTCCTGACAAACTGCTTACATCGAGGTTAGGAGATAAGATGAGAAGCTATTCTCACGTGGTACATTCCAAACAAGGTAGAAAGGCACAATCCATATGCTCAATGTAATCTACAGGGACTTTAAAGTGGATGAAGGCCCACAAAGCATTTCACCGCAAATGACAAGTGTTATTCACTAGCATCCCAAATAACAGGGGTAGTTTTGTTTTACGTGGACCAAACATCCGTCATCTACAGACGGAATTTCTGCCTAAGGTATCCTGATGTTGCGAACTAGCTCCAGGATGTTGACATCAACTGTTATATAGTTTCATAAAGTATATGCCTGAAGCGACCACTATAAACAAACAAAAAGTGTTTACTTTGTTTACTGGTTCATTTCGGACGGAAAATGATGACAACATTTAGGTGGAACCAAAATCCATAACCTTTCCTCTACCACCGTTCAGCGCAATCCTATATTTGTAATGTTGGTGTCATCGAACTAAAACGGTTGAAATTAGGTGCACCAGAGCGAGCGATTGCGGGTTCTTACTGTAAAATGCTGTGTTAGTGCTAGGTGCTACCTCATCATTTATAACCAATAATATTAGTGTGGCGTTCATAGTTATGTCACAGCTTGAGGCATGCTGTTTAGTTGCGTCTCAAACATAGAAAAGCTTCATCCTCAACTGCGCATTTTCAGGACAATGGCGGAACCAAACGGAAACCAAAAGTTAAGAACTCATCCGAACTTATTCGTTTACATTTGCGGCTTAAATTTCCCGCGCACTTTGGAAAATTGTCTCCCGCACTCCGACAACTTGTGTTAGACAAGAATGAGTGATGTCCACATGCAATTATCGACTGCAACAACTTCCAATTGGATGATTAATCACAAAAATTGATCGGAAGCTTCATTTTCACTTGGACCGAGCTTACGTAATCACAAACGGGCGATTAACGCGGCGTGTGACTTAGATCCAGTGCCCCTGTAAAGTGTTTCGAAACAGATTCTCACTAGGTGTATAGACAAAAAGCTAAAAAGAAATTGTTAGCTAGTCTCACGAGGATATTTGTGAGTAGTAGTCGTGGCTTCCTGTCTTGAAAACGGTTCGGTTGGTAGCCCAGCTGAAACCGTTGGGCAATTCGTTGTCATTGTTGTCGTTGTTGCCACCAGTTTCGTAACTTGTATAATACTATCTCCACATCAAATACGAGTGAGAAGGCTCGGAGGCCATGGTATTTACAGCATACCCGATGTAGTGATTTACGATACATTGCGTTGGTGAATAGAGACAGCTCTGCACCAAACATGCTCAATGAGTCAAGCTGCTTAATTTCTGCTGTACACATTCCTCAACCAGTTTTGTCGAACATAACCACGGTTGCAGATAACTAAGCAACATAGCAGCGAGCTCAAATTTTAAAACTTTCCAAAATATTGGAAAAAAGTTTGGAACCGATTAAGATGTTATCGTTCCAGAAGAGCTTGGCTAACTATCGGTAGTTTTCTTACTTGGGCAACGTTTTGCTTTTGACACAATAGCTAACTCAGGTCAAGTGTGCGGGTCACCAAGTTGACTTGCCCTTATCAGACCCATTAAAACAAGATATTAGCAACCACAAAAACCGACGAGAGTCGTTAATTGACTCAAAACTAATCCAGCGCCCTAATACGCAGATGGCTTAGTGATTTGTTCTCTGTTTGTCTCAAAACCTGGCCGAGTTAGCGGGCTGCTTTTGTGTCAAAAGCGAAATGTTGCCAGGTAAAAAACTTTTAAGCTCTGCTGAAACTTTCCCAAAGCCTTGTCCGTGAGATTGCTCAAGATTTGAAGATAGATCTTCGTCTCCAAAGCTCGGCTGTCTGAGCTACAAATGGAGCCAGCGAGACAACAACCTCAGCGCCATCCACCACAAGCGTGGAACCATCATGCTCAAGGACATTCCTCCGCCTTGTCGAATCCGTGAAGAATGTGTTTAGTAGTTTTCTTCGGAAAATCCACTGAGAACGATACGATTAGAGTAGTGCAATTACCGAGCTAGTGTAGAATTATGAAATTACACTGTTTACCGTAAGCATTTGTTCCTGTTGGCAACTTATATTGCGCATGCTCTACTTCATTAAGGACGTCTTGTGCACAGAGATGCTGGGTGACCAAAGTGTTCACGTGGTTGGTGTGATATCATTTAGGCGATGCATGAGTGGCATGTGGCATGAGTCACAAGTGCGCGCGTGACCAGCTCACGAGAAGCGCACGACCCAGTTGCTCGAACGATGGGAACAAGGAGCGCGTACTTTTTGAGCAGCGCACTTGGTCAAGCCGACATTATCCTAACGAGTTTGAGAGTCGGAATGACAAGTACTTAAGAGGCGTTTATATTTGTAGGCGTCATTGGAGCAAGTTAGTTTTTTGTCCATTGACGGTGATTCCACAGAGCCGGTCATTTTGTTCCTTCAAACGATCCATTAAAGCTAACATTAGACTATGCAAGGTTACCTAGAAGTACCTTACCCCAGGCCTCAGAATAAGGCAAAAACAATCAATTTTTTCGATTTTCAGGAACTGCGTTACAAAAAAGGGGAAGCTAGTTGGACCAGTGTTGGTGCTGTCTGATTCCTCGTTGAAACTCTGTGTGAAGTGGAGCTGGAAAAGAGCACAGTTTGACAGGTTGCATCGTTGGACTCAATAAGTCAGTAAGTACCGTGTCCTTAAACGTGTGCTGATTTGAAGACACGCAACATCACATGACCTTACATATCAATGGCCAACAGTATCGATTGCGATATTTTCCAAAAGAATTAATTTAATCCTGATCAAGGCAAAGACGTCGAAGTCACGCACGAACCAGCATATGCGGGTATTTAAAGTGAAG